CAGGGCCCTACCAAGGAAAGAGGGACCTATGTTGCAGCATTTGCCACGGGCAGCTGGCAGCAGCTGGCAGGTGATGGCCAGGCCCACACTTCCACCACGGACTATGTGAGGAAGTCAACTGGCAGATCCATTTTCTGAGTAGTGCATGGCTGTGTAACAGCCTTTAAAACAAGAAGTAACTGGCTTTGATTTAAAGCTGAAGAATAAAGCTTGCAAGCCATAGACTGCAGTCAAATAAAGGTGTTTCCTTTGGATGGTTTTCAACTGCCAGCAGTATAGCTCTACTAAATTAATCTTATTCCTGATTGGCATTAGCAAGAACAGAACTACAGCCAAGTAACATGGGAAGTCACAGGCAGAGAGTTACAAAAAAAAAAGGGTAGGAATTAATCTTTTTCATAGTAAAAGACAAATTCATCCAAAATCCACCCAGATGTGCAGGCCTGCTGGAGGGGAAGCATATGTGCAGAGCATGTGTGATTCCAGCAAACTCATTGATCTCTCTAGGCTCAAAGATAAGTGTTTATGCGAAAAAATGAACCTGTGGAAATGGACCTCCTTGTAAAACAGGTTTAACTCTTGGGCTGTCTCTTTTCTGTGTCACAAAAAGACTTTCAAGTCTGTTTTTAAAAGAAGTTTCAGATTTCATTTCAGCTGCATCCCAAATGATAGCTTCTTTCTTTACACCACAGATTCATTAGCCCCTCCAATCAAGCAGAAAGCTCGTTTTAAAATTAAAGATGCCAAGTGCCATTTACGGCCTCGCAGCAAAGAGAAAACAAGAGATTCTGGGAAGCAAGCTGTGTCAGGTGTGTGGTTTCTGCTAGCATGTAAACAGCTTTTGTTTGCTTGTTTGTTTGCATATTTGTTTTCACACTGCAGAGGAAAAAAATAGTAACAGTTTTCATATTTGGATCTGAATTTAAGTTCAGGCCAAAGTTCTCACTCTAGGTGAACAGTGCCTTGGATCTAAGAGTGCTGAAATGTCACCAGTTGCTTTGAAAAATCTTTGTTCAAAAGTACATGAGTTTGGAATTAAGCTGATCCTTTTTCTGGCATTGATAGTGACAGAAACATCCTGAGATGTAAAGCTGTGACCATTGCAAAGTTATGTGGAACAATGTCAGTTTTGTTGATTTAGTTTTCCCAAATGAGGTTTATAAAAAAAAAAATCTATTTTTAAAAAAATGTTAATGGTTTAAAGATTTTCTGCTTAAAATTTAGACTAATATTTTATCTTTACCCTGCATTCTAGACATTTGTGTCTCTAATTTTGCAGACATTGATTTTAAACAAGTCTCAGTCATCAAGATGTTTACCTTGTCCTTATGTATTGCCTCCTTTTAATAAGATAACATTATCAGACTAGTTTTTAAAGTCAGAAAAGTTGATATTTTTGGCCCATACAGTCACCATGAGAATGCATTTCTTGGATGCATTTCCTTGTCCTTTGCATGCTTTGTGTTTGTGTTTGTTACATCATCTGAACTTCTGGGTATAACAGTAAGATTATATCGTCCAACCATACCCTCAGAATGAAATCCTCCTGGTGTCTTGGGTGCTACAAATATCTCTCTGACTTGGAAGATCCATTGCCTATAGCATTCTATGATTCCTGCTTAGATATAACCTTCCAATATATCTTCATAACCAAACGATCAAAGGCTTTTAAAACCTTTGATATCTGGTGATTGTCATTGCTGAAAGAGATGGAATAGCTGCTGGTAGTTTCTGAAGGCTCAGGCCTGACACTGTCATGAATTTATGAAAAATGACTCTCTTGCTTTGTTTAGCCATCAAATGTCTATTCATAGTGCTGCTGATCTTAACTGATTTCTGTGAAGAGCTTTCTAATCCTTATGCATAAAAGGGATGGGCAGTTAAAGGCATTAGAGGTATCACTGTGTAGCTGAGCATCTCCACAGTGTATTTTTGCCTCCTACATTCACTAGCACAATGAGCAAACCCAACACTGCACAGAGAAGGTGTCTGACAATGCTTGCAAAATGTTATGGAGCCTGTCACTGCATTCATGATAACCCAGCTGAGATATGGCTTATTAGCCTGTCACTTGCTACTTTTGCTACTTGATTTCTTTTCTGTGTTGCTTCTCTTACACAAAGGAGGTCAATTCCCTTGTACAGACAACTGCCAGGTGACCTTTGTGAATCTCAAGTGTGACTCCTCCAAGAAAAAACGCCGAGGCCGCAAGTCACCATCAAAAGAAGTATCTCATATCACTGCTGAGTTTGAAGTGGAGATGAAGTCAGAAGAAGTCTCAGGTTTGTGAAAGATCTGTCTGTGGAGAGAAATCAGAGTTTAGTTCCTCAGTGTGTTTTTAAAATATTTTTGATGCTATTCTATCAAACTGCCATGCAAACATTTTAGCACGAGCCTCATTAAGCAGCCTTTCTAAACTCAAAGTTTCAGGGATTTAATTGAAAAAGAATCAGGTTTGAAATTAAGCCAAAGGAACGAAGATTGAACCTGCATCCAGATTCCTTCAAAACCTTGAGTTAAATCATGTACTTTAATGTAGTCTGATTTCTTTAAACAGCAGAACTGCTAATCAATGCTCAGGGAATATAAAGATTAGATAGAAGTTCTGCAAAAATTACAATAACAATATCCTCCAAAATGTAAGTTGCTGAAACTTCAGTCTGAGAATCAAATATTTTTATCAAACATTTGAAAAACTCATGTTTTCATAACAAACTTAAGGAACAAAAATAATTGCTTCAAGTTGTTCATGTGATGGAATATTATGCTAGAAATTCCAGCCAAAGAAGATGTGGACTGAATTCTATATGCATGTCAGTCCTCAAAGGCAGATTTCTTAACTTCGAGGGATACCTCACTATCCAAGTGTGAGGAACTATCCAGCAATTGTGCCTGGAAATACCTTTTTTTGTGTCACTGAGGTATTTTAGTCAGGGAAGTGGCAAGAATTCCTAATGAACTGAGTACAGTGTGGGCAGAGAAAATTCAGAAACATCAGTGGTGGCAGACTGAGCACACACCTGAAGTGCATGTGGTGGGATTGGTGCTTTCTGCAGCTCTCTGCCTGTCAGCTCAGTAGAACCTTAGTGCTAGAGACAAGCTATCAGCACCCAGTGTGCACTTGTAGCCTGTGAAACTGTTTGATGGACCTCAGTGTACTGTCTGGTCCTTTAAAAGACCTGATCTTGAATACGGTGAGCTGCTGCTTCAATTCATGTGGAAAGGACAGTGAAGCAAACAGAGGTGTCCCAGTGCAATGCAGGCTAAGCTTTTTGTTAAGCACCTCTTTTTAAACATGAATCTCAATTGCTTCTAGTTTTGTTATCATTTCCCATCTAGACACCTGTAACATTGACTGTGTTCGGAAAAGGATGGAGCAGAAGCTGCAAACTGCAATCAAAACATTGAGGAAATCTATTAATAAACAGCAATTTTACATTCAGTTTTCTGGGACAGAATATGAAGTGGCTCAGAAGCCAGCTAAAGCTACTGAAGGGCACGAAGCTTGCAGTACAGGGCAAGTACTGCAGGATGGCAAATGTGGTAAGTCCAAACAACTTGAATATTCAGTCACAGCCCCAAAACAAGCAATCCAAAATTACCTTGTCCATAATGAACCAGGGAGGAAATCTCTGAGATAAGACAGTTTAGATCAATATTACCCAACATATGTTCATGGACATAAGTCATAAGACTTGGAAGGGAATTCATTAGGTGGTTGCAGGAACACAAAGCATATATATGGATATATTCCTGTGCTGTCAGCTAGTAGGTATCAAAACCTGCCACAAGGCAATGTTGGCAGGTAGTTCCCAGTTGCTCCCAGCATCTTATGAAAGTGTAATTACATTTCTGTAAAGCAAAAATATGGTGTTTGCCTAGATGCTTTGTATTTACTTTAGTATCACCTCTCTCACTCTCCTCACCACCAAATAATCCATGACCCATGGATATATTTATATTTAATGCTAAAGATGTCCAATAAAAAGAAATAATTATAGAAATCTATTTTAAGTTTATGTAAAATACCTAATTTCTTTAAGCCTTTTCCCATTTATCAGGCTCTGGTGCTTTGCTGGGGGCAATGTGCTAGCACAAGCATTAATGGCAGTTCTCAGCACTGAATCTTTCTAATCACTTACAGACATCTTTTCAACATCTGCATATCTATTTTTCCAGCTTTTTAGGCACCAAGTGATTTATGAGCCGAAGGGAGTGCAGGTCTGATAGGTGCCTCCAATGAGCTGGTTCAGAGGTTGTTTTTATCATATGGGAACACTGATTTAGAAACTGTATTTGAAAGACTGTTGCTATTAGTGTCTAGAAATCCATTCATTTTAACTCCTCTATCCAGCAGTGAAAAAGGTTTAATGCAGTTATGTGCTCTGTTGCAGCACGAAAAACATGTGTGTTCATAACTGTATTTAAAATGCTTTCCAGTTAGGGTATTTGGGTGTCAAGAGATGTAAATGATTACATGGGATACATTGCCCTCAGAGAAATCTCTAGAGCAGATCTCAGGACACCAACTTGTTGCAGTTATCTGCCATAAATCCAACACATATATACACCTCCTGTAAGCTGAAATCGCACATCACTTCCCATGCATTATGCACCACTGTTTTAATAAGCTGCAATAGTTTGTTTTAAGACTGCATCAGCTTTATTGACAATACGTGTGCTAAACACTTCAGTGCAGTATGATGCCATTTAATAGCTTAAACAATAGGAGAAAGACCTTGCCCTGATGCAAATTGACCTAGACCACAGCAGAGATGGGTCTGTTTACATTAGGTGAGGAACCTGGACTAACATATGCAAAACATATGCCACTATAATACTGGGGCCAAAGAGATCCATCTTCTCTAAATGTTTGATGTAAAGACGAATAATGTGATCAAAATGAAAGTTCTTACGTAGATTCCCCTTTTCTTTTCTCAGTTACCTGCAGCATGGGCACCTTTTATAGCGGAGAACATAATCAGTGCATTCCTTGCTCACCAGGAACATACCAAGACACAGAAGGTCAACTTACCTGTGAACCTTGCCCAAGTAACGATGGACAGGGAGTAGCAGGAGCCCGGAATGTGTCAGAATGTGGAGGCAAGTTTAATTTGATTATAAAAGGATTAGGTGTTGCCACACATCCTGTGAGGCATGGAGGCTAAAAGAGGGGAGAGGCTTCCACACTTCTGTCTTGTAAAGGTAACAGAAGAAATCTCTGTCACTTACAAGCAATACACAGAATGTTTTGGCTTGTTCTATCCACTAATGCTGCTGACAAGAAGATGAGACCTGCTACAGCAATGTGAGTTATGGTACTGAAATGAGCAAGCCAAGCAAAGCACTTTGCTTTAAGTCAGGTATGGAATCTGGGTGTACCTCGACTTGTAAGGCCTCATCAGGTATGTTGTGAGCCAAAGGGATGGATTGCTTTGGACTGGTATTGGTGAGTCTAATGAACCTGCTGACTTAATGTTTTGCATGAGATGCAGTTTACCTGCTCTAATTAGCAGCAGTTATAGTTTTGAGATAGTTATGCTGCAGGGGTCTGTAACCTGGACTCAGAACTAATGACTAATTCAAGCAGCTTCAGTGCTGCTTGAATTCACTGCAGCTTTTGGCAAGTGATGTAGCATCTCTGTCTCAACTTCAGGATATACAAACTAAAGTATAATGATGACAATATCTGCTGCTTCTCCTGTAACTTGCTGAATATAAGGTTTTGAGACACAACTGCTCATTATTTTCCTTACCTTATTTCATTACAGATGAGCAAAATCTAGTTTACAGCAGATGCATTTTCTGACTTTGAAAGAATCTGTCCTATCTGCCACACGAGTTCTAACTTTAAAACTCATCCATGTAATTTACATTGATACTTTTTCCAAGGATATCTAAAGTGAACACACAACTGTTCCTTGAGAAACTGCTGCTTTTCCCCCATCCACTGAATAAAAAATAACTCTAGTGTCTGCAGTCCAAACATGATAGATTTTCCTGATTTACTGTATGAAGGAACTATTACAGGAAAAATCTTGAAATGCCTACACATCTTTGCTATGTTGATTTGTGTTTATCCAAAATCCAACAAGAATAGTTTATCAAAATAAAATCTGAGTTTATAAAACCTGACTAAAGTATACTGACAAAAGCAACATGGTGACTAGAAGAAAAATACTTTTGTTTCAAGGCTTTCATTTGAATTATTGTTCTGCACACCAGCAAAAAGAAACTCTTCTGATTATTTTTGCAGAGTGGATTTATCTCCATATGTTTGTTGTCAGATCACAATAGTGTGTTCTTCTGCTCAGCTCTCCTTTTCTCTTCCTCTGGAACTGGCAAGAGAGAATAATATGCTTTGGACTTCATAAATTTCTGTTAAACATTTTATCAAAATCAAGATGTCTCCATAAAATGTGTCAGCACATGTGATGAAACAGTGTATTTTTTAGAAACACAGACTTTGTTAGAAATATAATACTCCCTATTGGTAATCAATAGTATTTTTGCATCATATCTTCTGGAGCAGTAATGCCTGGGTAGTAACCAATAAACTAACTGTGACTGAAATCCTCACCCCTACAGGTGAGGAACACACATTCAACAAGTGTGTAAGAGACTTTAAGTGCCTATAGTATAGAACTCAGTTGTAACTGCAAGTGAATTACATGCTGTGATACTTAATTTACACACAATCCATGTAGATATGAGGGCAAAACATGTTTAGAAAACCTATTCATTTGGAACATTTCTCAGGGAAATCACCTCAGATCTATTTTGTTGGCAATTTCAATACAGAGGGCAAGATAGGAGCAAGTTAGTTCATTCTCATGTACAGGTAAAGAGTGAGAAATATTGGTGCTGAAAGCATCTGGTATTTCTTGAGCATCCTGGTCTAGTGGGGAGGTGTCCCTGCCCAAGGCAAGGGGTTGGGACTAGATGATCTCGAAGGTCCATTCCAACCTATTAACATTCTATGATTCTATGATTTAGCAGTATTAAATCCCAACTGTACCTCTTCTTTAAAAGGATGTCTTCACAAGTACTTAATTTTCACACTAAAATCCAGATCCAAATCCACTCATCATTACCTGCCTTCATATCAAAGTCCAGTAACCAATTGGATCAGACCAGGTAGATCAGTTTTTCTACAAAAACAATAACAGAATTGTCTTCAAATGAGAAGCATCATAATATCTCTCTGAGGTCTGTGTCACAACAGCCACTTTGCACAGTCATATTCTAGACAGCTGGGATGGAAGCACAAATAAATCGTGAAGGTCCTGGTCCTACAAGTCCTTAGGATTTTGGCTTTTGTGGGGACAGAACTTGCATTTTGTTTTCATTCAGGAGCTCTGGTTCATCCTAAGGACCAAGGTTCTTAGACCATGCCAAGCAGCCAAGATACTGGATGCCCCCAACATTTCCAGCGAGTTTCAGGGTTCTTAAGAGACTGCAACCCTACCCAGAACTCTCAAAACTTTCGTGTTTTCAAGCCAGTTGTTTCCACCTGCTGCTCAGTTCTCAGGGAACCTAAATTACAAAGCACTGGGACTAGGAAGCCCCAGGGAACACCTAGCATCTCACAGCACTGGTTTCCCAGGCTGGAGTAGTGTGAAGATATGCCTTCCTGCCATAATCTTGAAAAGCTTGACATCCTGATTCTCAGGTTGTCATGGAGTAAAGTACTTAAGGTAGCAAGAACTAACCCAAACAAATGCCTATCAGAAACTGCCTGGAGAGCAAGTGTGGGAACTTCTTTGTATCAGTCAGTAGACTCATTCACAAAGTGATTTGCTTTGCACAAATCACCATGTTCTGGCAGAAGAGCTTCTGACAAGCAGCAGTTTTCACAACTACCTGGAAAAGCTGCTGGTGTCAGGTATTCTCATAGGGTGCTGGACTGGTACCATCCTGTCTGGTAAATCCCATGATCCACTGTTTCCACATCTCTAAAATGGAGATGCAAAAAAGCAATTATTTGATTCATGGACATGGTACAGTTTCATTTTTTCCTACAGAGTGCTTTGAAATGCTCAGATAAAAGACTTGGCAAACGTACAAACTATTCTAGCACTATCTTAATAGATCCCTTGCTAAAATGAAATAAAAATAACACAAACAGAAACACAATTGGAAAAAAAAGCAACATATTAAGAAACGGGTTCTATTTCCTCGTGTTGTTTCTAGGAAGCAGTTAGAAGAACAATAGCTAAGATTAGAATTTGATCTACAGCTGTCTTGATGTGACATGTTTAAGTTAAAGGAAGCCTTGCTAATTACCAGTGGGTTTTATACTTTGTCCAGAAAAGTTAACACACTAATACAGGTGATCATTTTCAATTTCTAGGGCAGTGTTCTCCTGGGCACTACTCGTCAGATGGTTTTAAACCTTGTACAGTCTGTCCTCTTGGCACGTACCAGCCTGAACCAGGAAGGACCCTCTGCTTTCCCTGTGGTGGTGGGCTCGTCACCAAATATGAAGGTGCCGTTTCCTTTCAAGACTGTGAAACCAAAGGTGAATTTAAAATTTTTCCACAATTCATATTCCTACTCCTTGCCCTTTGGTTTGTAATCTTCAATGCTTGGGTTTTCAAAGGCTCCAAAACAAACCTTGTCACTGCATGGGCATAGGACTGAATTAAATGGTCAAGAAATCTGTAAACTAGGGATGATTTCCTGAGGTTGTGGAGACTGAACAGGCTTCATGGTTTTCTTTGGGATTTACCACTGGCAGGTACAGGGTCAGGGCTGCAACTGGTAAGTGAATCAGCCTCACTGTGTGGCAAGAAATAAGACAAACTTTAGCTTTCACATCCTGTATATTTTTATTTACTGAATTAGAAAAACTAAACACTACAGAAGTTATATGAAGTTAAGAATTGATTATTAATGGGCTAGGCAGAAAGTGTAAGCACACAACACTTGTTGTGTGTTCCATAGTGTCAGTTTCCAGTGCCAATGGCAAAGAAGGAATCTGCCCAAATGCATTTTGGGGTAATGGTAATGGAAACCTCTCTCCTGCCATTGTGAAAGTAATTTTCCTTGTTGAGATGGGTATGCATTGGCTTCTATTTACTACAAATTCATCAGAAACCACTGTATTAAATCCAGAGAGAGACATATTGGCATGCATTACTAGTTCACATGGGTTTAGCTCTAGTCTTGGGATTCTAGTTTGAAGATCCTTTGTACTGGGAAATATATGGGGCTGGTGTCTTTTCTGCCTTTTGTGGCCTAATAAGTGTGTTGCAGAATGGGGATGTTCAAGGTAGAGTAAAGTTCTCTCTACTGAAGATTGCTTCTTTCTGAAAATAATACACCTCATACCTTACAGTTCATTGTTCTCCTGGACACTACTACAACTCCACAACACACAGATGCATCCGATGCCCTGTGGGAACATACCAGCCTGAGTTTGGTCAAAACTACTGCATCACCTGCCCTGGGAACACAAGTACAGATTTTGATGGCTCCACTAATGTTACACACTGCAAAAGTAGGTTACATTTGTACTAGTTGTGATGTAGACTAGTTGTGATATAATGTCTTTGGATCTGAACTGCAACTTGAAGGTTCCATCTGTCAGGCTGGTCTTCAATTTTGTATTTCCTAGTTAGCATATATCTACTGCCAGAGGAAATAGTAAAAATTGGGAAAACAATGAGAAAAAAAATGAGAAAAGTACCACTGGATACATATGAGTGTTTTAGCTTTAACAGGATTTTGCAGAGTGCCAGCTACAGGTTAAAACTACAGAGCCTTTGGTTTCCCAGATCCTGTGAGTTGCCTTATAGTGATGTTTATTTCCCCATGTCTCTGCAGAGCACAATATCTTCTATCAGAGTAACTGCCACTTTGTAATAATTATAAAATATTAGGAGATATGGCCATGCACACTGCAATTGCCAGGTAATCAGTTATGACAGTGAGATCTTCTTGTAGGCTTTTTCACAGTACTCAGCCTCCTATCTTCAATTACCATTTTAAGTATCCCCAAGGATTTCAGAGCAGTTTCATTTGATCTCTTGTGAATGACTGATTCTTTTAGGCAAGCAGGTTTTTTCATCTCTACCCTGCTAATTTAAGAGAATGTCTCTGTAGTAATTAAGCAATATCATCTAAAGTAACTATTCTTGTGCAAATCTATAGTAAGTTTTTATTCTGATTATGGGCCATGTGTGTTTGAAGCCCTTCATCATTTCTAATGTAATGTGAGTAAATTATGTATTTGTAAGGGATTTGAAGAAGTTTGATAATTCTCCTGTAAAGTAAAACCATCCTTGTTACATTGCTGTTTTATCTATTCCCTGTTTCAAAGCCAGTTTTTGACCTTGCATAGTCTTTGAGGGTTGGATTAAGGAAAGCATTTAAACTTATATCTAGTTTTATGTGGATGAGTAGGCTGGGAAAAATCAAGCTTAAGTAACTTGTGCCAAATTCAACAGCAGTTTTGGAAACTCAGAAAGTAAAACTGACCCATCAATGGAGATTCTTTATTAACTGATTTAATCTAAGATGAAGCAAGGCAGATCTGTAATCAGGGTAGGGCTAGTTATTGGGACCCTCACACTCATTCAGCTAGATCAGGTTAAAACCCAAGAAATTAAGCCAGAATACTTTCTGCATGTCAGCACAGTCTCCACGGTAACCAGTGTACCTCCACAGCTGGATCTTGCTTACTTACCTGTGTTTCTCAATCAAATGTTAAAGCAACCTGAATGAAGCACTGAATGTGTTTGTGCACCAGAGATTAAGGTTTTGCAAACCAGTTGGAGCAACCTTGCAGATCAAGTATTCCTTTCAGAGCTTTCCATGCTAAACAAAGAGGCAGCTGGAGAATGTATGCGTTTCTAAAGCCACAAGGAGGAGTTGAGACTTGCTCTTGACAGACCTAGAAAAACACCTCAAATTAGCTAATCAGCTAACACAAATGCTAATTTGTGTTTCTCCACAGACCAGCACTGTGGGGGAGAACTTGGGGACTATACTGGCTACATTGAATCGCCCAACTATCCTGGAGACTACCCAGCTAATGTCGAATGCATTTGGAATATAAATCCACCCCCAAAGAGAAGAATACTCATTGTAGTACCTGAGATATTTCTCCCAATTGAAGATGAATGTGGTGATGTTTTAGTAATGAGAAAAAGTGGTAAGTTGTCAGGCATGGGTTATACTTGTTGCAAACTGGAGTGGAAAGTTCATATTGAAGGAGCGACTGTCTTTGTGTAGGTGCTGTTTCTAAAAGGATTGTTGGACGAAGTGGCACAGCAAGTTAGAACACTACCAATAACAATTAACAGAGTGATATTAATTATTCAAGTTTCTTGGCTGAATCACAAAGCAGTTAATGGGCTTCTCTCTGGCCCAATTATCACAAGGGATAAATCACTGCCACTCTAGAAGTCAACAAAGCCACGCTAAGCTGTATCAGGAGAGTTATCTTCTGTAATCTCTACAAACTGCTTTTGCTTATCCTTTGTAAGTACATACCTGCTGCAGCTATTGCTAAATCTGGGCAGTGGGTTGGTACAACTGGCACCCTCAAGAAATCTGAAGTTTTCCCAATTTTATGTGGAGTGTGTGCGGGGGGGGTGCGTTGTATCTTTGATTATGAAGTTAATTCAACAACTTCTGAAGTTATGACACCAATGAGATGTGCTCCTCCTTCAGTCTGATGTAGGCATCCATCTGGTGATCTGTCTCCAAGAAGCACTAAACCTGAAAGGCGTTATTTTATATGGAGCTTTGTTCAAAACAGTGCATTTTACTTGCTAAAATGGTGTGTTTAATTTACTAAAACAATTTTCACAACTTTTTATCCTTGACATCTCTGTATACCAGAAGAAGAAACCTACTCACTATAGATGAAAGGAAATTATATCTGTCCAGATCAGCTTTTTAAAAGCAAAGCACTTACTGTAAATAAGTGCTGTAAGTACTGCAAAACACATCAGTTGTCTTTCTCATCTCAAACTGTGGTTCCAACAGTGACCAAAACCAGTTACACCAGGGAAAAGTTTGACTTCCACTTCAGTACCACTTTGCTCTAACAGGTTTGTGTCCTTTGTATGTTGGGGGCACCAGAACTGTACACAGTACTCCAGGTAGGGTCTCACAAGAGCAGAGGGGGAGAATCACCTCCCTTGACCTGCTGCTTGTGACGCAGCCTGGTTGGCAGGACACAGTTGGCCTTCTGGTCTGTGAGCACACATTGCCTGCTCATGTGGGGCTCCTTGACAGCCAACACCCCAAGTCCTTCTCTTCAGGGCCGTTCTCAATCCATTCTCCACCCAGGTTGTATATGTGCTTGGGATTGCTCTGACCCAGGTGCAGGACCTTGCACTTGGCCTCATTGAACTTCATGAGATTCACACAGAGCCAGCTCTCAAACCTGTTTAGGTCCCTCTGGATGGCATCCCTTTCCTCCAGCATGTCAACCACACCACACAGCTGGGTGTTGGCAAACTTGCTGAAGGTGCACTCAATCCCCCTGTCCATGTCACTGATGTTAAACAGCACTGGTCCCAGTGCTGACCCCTGAGGAATGCACTCATCTCACTGGTCTCTACTTGGACATTGAGCCATTGACTCTTTGATTGTAACCATCCAGCCAGTCCTTAACCACCAGCTGGTCCACCTGTCAAATCCATGTCTCTCCAGTTTAGAGACAAGGATGTCATATGGGACAGTGTCAAACGCTTTGCAAGAGCCCACGTAAATGACATCAGTGGCTCTTCCCTCATCCACCAACACTGTAACTCTGTCATAGAAGGCCACCAAATTTGTCAGGTGTGATGGCTGTCACCAGTGACCTCCTCATACCCAGGTTAACTGTTCTGTGGATCACTAACTCTTCAGTATGTGATGGTCTTTTGGTCAGAATTACTATACCAGCCATTCATTCTGGTAAGTGGTTTACTGCTATCAGATGAATCCCCCAAACTGGCCATTAAGGAGCTGGTTACCATGTCTGCTTCGGCTGCAGCTGACTTGTTATTACCTATCTGGGAGTTCAATGCCAGAGTTGTAAAGAAAATAATATGAATAGTAATTTTATAAATGTCAAGATTATCCCTCACTAAGTACTTAAGCTTCTGGCTGTGGGACTCCCATTACCTTTTTGGAAAAAACATATCCCTTATTGGAGATAAAGGCTATATCCATTCTGTCGCCTAAAACTTCTGCTCTTAGGAGTACATCAGCTGAGAAGTGTCTTGTCAGTTTGACGTTTCTGACCTCTAGGTGAGGAAGGGTGCAACAAAGTATTTTATAAAGAACATTATTTTTTTTCTAGCTTCTCCTACTTCAATTACTACATATGAAACATGTCAGACTTATGAGAGACCTATTGCATTTACCTCAAGATCAAGGAAGCTCTGGATTCAGTTCAAGTCAAATGAAGGAAACAGTGGCAAAGGATTTCAAGTCCCCTATGTGACTTATGACGGTGAGAATGGAGTTGTTTTCCATCTTTGTGTTATATATGAATTAAAGAAATTTGTCCTTTAGAATCTCTCTTACATTGCCTACAGGGAGAGAAGAATGAGAAAAACTTCATGAACTCATTTTTAGTCCAGTGAATTACTTTTAAAGCAGTTGAAAAGACTTTGAATTAACCTATGTATAATGTATATAACTTTTGATGGTTATTTCATATCCCTGGTCCTGCTTCTCCATCTCTAAAATGCAGATAATAAAGCATTATTATCTGGAGGGAGTAGTTTTTTGAGGACATTAGTGTTTATAGGGATAATTCAAAATTATTCTTCTAAAGCAGTAGCGAATTTTAAGGTGATTAGATTAGTCTACAGCAGCCTGAGAGACACTGAATAGTTAACTGGATAGTAAATTTTTCGGCTCTGTCTTCAAAAGGAGGCCTAGCTATTGTCTGGCTATTATCCTCCCAAAGGATGTCACAAAGAGTCACTCAACTCATCTTTATTTTCCAGAGGATTACCAACAGCTAATAGAAGACATTGTTCGAGATGGAAGATTATATGCATCAGAAAATCATCAAGAAATTCTAAAGGTAGAAAATTTCTGCTTTATCTGAGGCTAACTTTTACTGAGTATTTTCCAAAAATAGTTTTTAAAATCTTGATAGGGTCATAATATTTAAAGCTCAGGTGGGACCCCAAATTCAATTCTCTGCCTTCTGAGGTTTATGCTGGTAATTTGAAGCAGCACAAAACCAGTAGCTCAGCTGGGCTGAGCTCGCATATACATCCTTTGTGGAATCAGGAACTAGATTAAATGTATGCTAATATGATTGTATGTTAGAAAAATTAGTCAGAAGAACCTATTGTTTGAAGAGCCTTCTTCAGCCTCAGCCTGGCATTTAAATGTTTAAATGAGTCATTAAGTTTCCTGGGCATTAAAAAACATATTTATCCAAATCGCTGTCCTGCCTCAAACAGACATAACCATAATGTAGCATTGTAAGCTGTCCATGAAATGGTTTCCCAAAGGTACAAGCAACATGCTCAAGAGAATTGTGGGGGAAGGTTTCTGGGCTGCCACCTGGCACAGCTAACTAACCAAAACTGGAAAAAAGCTGTTAAAGGGCAGAATTCAGCTGTGTAAATGTACAGCTTGGAAGGACAAGGACTGATTAACAGCCAGCTCTGTTGGCCATCCCTGCCCAGTACAGCAGTATTCCCTCACTCAAGCTTTGAGGTTGTTCAGGTCTTCACTGCAGTGGATAGGATCAGGCACAGGCTCAGCTGAGGCTCTGAATCAAGATTTTACCAGGGTGCAGGAGAAGGTCCTTAAAAAGCTCAGCAGCACTGAGGACCATCCTTCTCCATCATTCGTGGAGGGAAGGCCCTAGACAACACCATGAAAGAGGCTGAAAGGACAGTCAGGGGCAGTTTGAAGGTCTAATACCTAACATTTGCATACAGTTTGTGGCTAACCCACCTGCAGCTCTCTCAGTACAGCACCTTCCAGGAATGCTAGTTGCAAAAACATGTCCAGCACAGTACAATGATTCATCAGTGTAAAACTCCACAGCAACGTGGACCAGTTTCCTTACACTGCTTTATCCAAACCCTTCTGTTATCTAATATATATGTTGTCTTCCATAGGACAAGAAATTGATTAAAGCTCTCTTTGATGTACTGGCACACCCACAAAACTATTTCAAGTACACAGCACAAGAGTCAAAAGAGATGTTTCCAAGATCATTTATAAAGCTACTACGATCAAAAGTTTCCAGATTTCTACGACCATACAAGTAGTCTAGTGGTATTCAATTTTTGGTTACTTTGCATTCCTGTCAAGTATTGTCTTTCCTCCACAGTAGAAACATTTGCTAATTTGAAGGCTCTTTTTTTCAGTCTTTGTTCTCAGTTGTACATCAAAGAACACCTATAATGTTTTATAATTCTTAAAAGTCAGTGTTCAGAATGGGATTTTTACTACCAAAAAAAGTTATTTGTACATCCCGGAGTGCATCTAGTTGAAGATCCAAACTTGTGTATGCACTAGTGTATCTCCACTTTCCACTTGAAATTTCATTATGTAGAAAATATTCTTTCTAGCTTTTCACTTTTCATCAGCAACAACTTTTGTCAAAGCAAAGAAGAAATCTATTCAAATATGATTAAACTACCTGCAGATAAGTTCTGTTGTAGAAAGAAGTGTGTAGTATAAATAATATTTGGATTTTGAATTGCACTTGAAGTTTATATTTGAATCTTTAGAAGAAAACAAAACAATCTAAATTTTGTTATTTCTCATTTGTGGCTTAGTGGAACCTCTGTCCAAGTAAAAATCAAAAGGGAAAAAAAAAAAGAAAAAAAAGAAACAGATGTATAATTTTGTTTTATTAATTACATGACACTGAGTCCCATACCCTAATGTCCTAATTTTTTTATCTATCCTCTTCTGAACTTCTTCAGAGGTTTGCCACTGTCAGTTACTTAATTGAAACAGATTTAGCTCTGGATTTCCATGCACCAGTTTGTCCCTTTAAAGGCATTTACAATAGGATATGTGAGAAATGAACAACAACACTAGTAGTCTTGGTTTTCTTTCCATTAAGAGAGCATCTAATTAAGTACAATATATAAATATATAAATATATACTTCTATTTGTGGGTACATTAGTAATGTTATCTCTAGTTACTGTAAATATTATTCATGCTTAAATCTTTACTCCCACACCCCCTATTTACTCATATCTATATGTAACTTTGCATAGACGATTAAATGACTTCTCCAAGTGCTTGTCACTTCTGTTGACACCAAACTGAAGCTTTTTGGAGTTTTATAATACTGGATAATGGTTTACTCTGGGACAATCTCTTTCAATATACATTATCCCAGGAAAAATAACATCAGTTAAGATGGAACTGCTGTCCAGTAAAAGGTCAACCATTGCCTCTTCCTTGGGCACCCCTCACAGTGCAGACCAACAGAGTTACACCTGAGGGCAACACATGTGAGAGGAGCTCAGCAAGGAGGAATCTTTGTTGGACCTGCTGTCTCTAAAACACTGGAAACATACCTGTGTCACAGACCCAGACTCTAAGGGGGATGAGGGGGTGGACAGGACACGGTTTTGCAGAGTTGCTGGAGGGCAGGTTCTGTAGTCTTCAGAGACCTGGTGCTCCCTTAGATCACAGTCCCATCAACCACAGGGACTGTGTGCTCTGCAGAGCATTAGCCTTGTAGGCAGCCCTTCCTCACAGAGCAGCAGGTACTGGTGGGTTTAGGATGATAATAGGTCCTGCTGTTTCCTGGCACAGGAGCTAATTTCGATGAGAGTAGCTTCTTTTGTTTTATTAGTATTGCAGCCTCTTTACTTCAAAGTCCCTTCCTCTTGTGTATCATTTTTGCTTTTGATCCTACAATATGACATGGAGAAATTAACTATCACAGCAGCATCATTTCAGAAAAAGGCTAACATACAGTTTTGTTTCACTGCAAGTTTTTGCATATCTCCCCTATAGTTTAACACACCCTTGGATGCTCTCAAAGACACATCAAGGGTGGTTGTGGTTAACTTCTTACACGTTTTATTTAGTCTTTGAGCAAGTACTGCTAAAATTTACAGTTGGTTTCTGTTGGCTATGTGATTGTTGAATATTCCATTTCAAAGAGACACCTTAAGTATTCTGCTGAGTTTTTCAATTTAGCCATCCTGTAATTTTGCTTGCCTCTTTCCTTTTCTGTTGAAAAGTATGATTTTTCTTTCTATGTCTGAACAGCCTGAACTTAGGGTCTAACAACTCTTTTTTTTTCCACTCATGGATCTTAGGTCTTTGATGAGCCTTCGCTTTAGTTTATATATATTAACCCTCATTTCAAAATGTAACATCTCCATAAAAGCCCTTTGTTAAAGGCTGTTAAACCTAACTTTTTGTAAGGATGTTGAAACTACTTTTATTTAATATTCACCATAGGTTACTAAAGGTGGACACTCAGAACATCTCATCAGGCCTAGATTCATTGTGTGCCTGGGCTGAAAAAAAAAAGAAGTTTCATGTATTCTTTTTCCATTTCAGTAGTTACTTGTAGAAAAAGAAATAAATCTTTAAAAAGAAAAATTCTTTTTAGGTACTCAATTATGTATAAGTGTATAGCTAAAAATCTACTTCAGCCAAACAGTAGTTCAAAGTCTATAGGTTATCCAGAGTATTATTTGACCCATTAGAATGGGTCAGGATTGCAGCCATTCTACTGAAAGATACTAAGTAAAGATATGAAAAATATGGAGAAAAATAACTTCCTCATTTGGCAAATAATTTACAGTGATCTTTCATATTTTTAACTTCAGTAGGCGAACTTTGGAACCTGATGCTGTGCAGTGAGTTTAGCAAAATCCTTGCTAAAATTTTTGCTTAACAACCAACATGTTTGAACATAATAGCACTGTACAACTGGTGCCAAGCAGGACAAACTTCTGCTCTGGAACAGGGCTGAAAGTCATTGCCTTACAAGTCCAGAAACCACTGGCAGCACCAGAACATTTTCCAGGTTCTTAGCTACATGGGAAATCCAGTGCCAGGTAGTGACTACAAGAGGGACATGTCCTAGTTGTGGCCTTGGTAGAGCTGTGAGAGCTGAATACAGACGAGACTAGTTGCATTTAACTCTTGTGCCACTCACCCTGACTTACAACCACACTACACAAAAACAGGGTTTTGTCTAGTGCATCGTGACAGAAAACCTGAGTGTGTGTTGTATTCCCCTGAGCCATGTCAGGGCATGGACTCCACAGTCAGCACAAGGCACTCATGGACTTTTGTAGCAAATGCAGTGTTTGTGTTGCTGAAAGCAGTAACAGAAAGAGAATAATTTGACCTTCAAAAGTACACAGTGAAATGCTTCTGAATATACAGGGGTTTCATATGTGATATATTTAGAAAATGAGTCAGGTTTGAATGTTGGTGACTGCATAGAAATGTTCTTGGATGTGCAAATTTCTAATGAAATAAGTAGTGACAAGTGCCATATAGGACTGACTGAACTGGTTTCAGTTGATTTGTAGAGCAGCACAGAATTCTTTTATCAGCTCTAAAAGTTAGAAATGCTTTGACTTTCATACTAGATTTATAGTTACAGAAACTGGCAGCCACCAAATAGGTGAGCTCAGCTCTGCATTTGTTAGTAGAGGTGTAGAATATCTGCACTGTCAGGGAACCTGTCACTACTACATGGTAACAGTACAACAACAAGGAACATCTTCTTCTATGGAGAAGACCTAGACACATTTGGAAATAAAAAACCATACAAGGAGAAATAAAACCAGCTTGGTAAAATGAATGAATCAATACATTGCAGAATATAAAATCTTAGCTTTTACCCTAAATATGGAATATTGCATTTAATCACACTCAGTAAATACAGCCCTGTATCTGCTCTTACAGGATTACAGATTGTACGCAGGATAGGTGTGACAACATGTTTATGTGTTATTACAGGAAGACTGAAGTAGTGCCCATTTGTGATTGCCCAATTCTGCGGCACAAACAGAGCTCTTTGTTTTCAGTTTCCCAATCCCTGTATGCTTAAAAGCTACACCTGCAGCGCTTACCATTTTAAGCCTCTCCTTCTGCTTTAAACACTGCACTTACTTTTAGTGAGGTGGTGGTGAATCATCGTTAGACATTCTCATGGGCCACCAAATCACTGCCTGCATACCTGCTGCAGTCCAGGAGACTGCAGCAGTCAGAAGCTGCTAGTCAAGCCCTGAGTTGTGCCTTGAAAGCGCTGAGGGCAAGATGCCTCTGTGTGTCATTGGAGTACAGGAAGCATCAGGATTCTGTGTTCAGTAGATTGCCACCTGCATCTTGCCTCCAACAGCAAGATTTATTCTGCCTGAAGATTCAGTGCACTGAAACTGGATTTAAAACTGCTGAAGTCTTCTTTCAGCCCATTGTCTTGCCCTGTCTTCTTTCCTTCATCATACATTAGATTTATACCTGAAGACCAACTTTTCAAAGGGAATTTATTTCCTTATTGTACCCCCACCCCACCCCCAGAATAAAGTTATGACTACTAAGGATTTAGACTAATCTTTCCTACACATCAACTTCATTCTAGGGTAAGCTTACTTAAAAGTGAGTAAGCTTACTTAAAACCAGCTTACCTTGTAAGCCAGGTTTAGTTTAGTTTTAGACTAGCTTAAATAAACACAGGCTTGGTCTTAGAGTTTGCAGAGAGTCCACATTCTGAGTTGTCAGCTGGTTTTGAAAGAGCTCAGCTCACCTGTATTCCTCTGTCTGTGAGCACAATGTAAGGCTGATGTCACATGAACAACGTGCACACAGAATTTAAAAAGGAAAGTCAAAACCCCCACCTCATGCCCCTCTGTAAGTGTGCCCAACAGGTTCAGATTTCCCAGGTCAGTCTTATCGATAAACAACCCAGTTTTAATCTTGCAGATAAAAGGTTAGGAACTCCAGGAGCAAGAGTAGTGGTATGATTCTTATACAGGATCTGCTGACAGGTCTTTGCCAGCAAAACCTACCTGCTCTATGATAGTTCTCATATCTGGACTCTAAATACCTTGGACTGCTCTTAAAAAAGAAGCTGGAGTGATATATTCAACAACTGAACCCAGTGGCAAATTTCTCAGCCATCTCAGGGGTCTGGATGATTTTCTAATGATGGGAATGAGCAGTACATGCAATTACTTCTACCTGTGCCATGAGTTCAAAAAGTTGCATTTTTTTCACAGTTTAAAACCACTGATTGACAGGAATGGTAGGAACTGGAGAAGTTCTTGTAGACTCTCAATACTTTGAGACTTTAACGAAATAGTTTTCTAGAATGAGAGACTGTTGTAAGCACTTGGGAAAAAAATACTTTTGTCTTCCTTAAGAATTTTTGGAAGAAGGGAAATTTTGGTAAGGTAATATGATCTTATTTCTCAGAGT